CTGGGGTTCCAAATCCTTTAGAGAAGACTCAAGATGAGAGGTTTAGGGTTTAGGGTTCAGGGCATGATGGGGGCAGGTCAGCAGGTCAACTTCTAATCAACTTCTAAGCTTTCAAGTTTAGCCAAATCAGATTGACCAGCAAGATGGCATGCATGTCTGAAAAGTGACCTGATTTCCTGATGTTTCTCATCATTTGGATCCTTGCTGTTTGGGAGTGTTGGGGTCCGACAGAACATCCGATTCCAGGGCCCATCAGTATCACAACCAAGTCCAAGGCCATTGACTAAAACCATTTGAAATCGCCAAAGTTTGGCACAACGTTTTTGTTTTGACCTGCACGAAAGTCACGCAGTGTCACCACAATGGGCCTTGCAAAGATTATTGTTTTGATTGAAATGGGCCATGCAAGGTTCCATGTTAGCTTAACCCTAAACGCAGAAGGTGTGCCATGTATGTTTTGCGGAGGATAATCTGGGTTGCTGTCAGGAAACTTTACGGTAAGTTACCTTGAGAAGGGACCCCTGCTATTTACCATGGATCCATATCATAGCAACTTGATGCATATTCCTTAATCCTCAACAAAGTCATTGCAGTCAGGTCCTGCCAGGTCACAGTCAGGAGCCCAGTGAAAGATCTTAGAGTTCCGGCTTGGGGTCTTGAAAGTGTCGTGATTGTGGGGGGGTCAAGGTTAAGGGTTTAGGATTTGGTTCCTGGGGGTTTAGGATTGAACCCCCCAATTGTGGGACTTAAGTACCTGGCATCTTCGCAATTGCGGTGTTTTTTGTATACTTAGGGCCATACATAATTAGTAACAACAGTAGCACATGGGTAGCGGGCAACTGTGTCTGGGACCCTCAGGCTTAACGGGATCAGGTTGTAATTGAGGATTTGAACTAGTAACTACATGTGCATTCGTCTTTTTTGTTCAGATTAGGTTTGTCCTTCATGCCCAGCAATGCTCACGGAATTGAAACGATGGTAGTCGTCCTGATTGTTGTGCATTTCCTAAATCCTAAACCCTGAGGCTATGATGCTCCGCCTCGCCGCTCAGCCATGGCCGAAGTGAGGAGAGACTGCAGCATGATACCTTGCTGCAGATGACATGCCATCGGGATTGGTTTCTCTCCACTTCCTACTTATGCTGCTCCAATCCTGTATTCCCGCTTAGCACCAAAAGTCATGGTTTGACTTCTGGATTGGATTATGTTTTCTACGTTCGGGCTGATGCTGATAATTCTGCGCTTGTGCTTCCATTGGCAACACATTCACAAGCAATACTTGTTGCTGCCGTTTCGGCTGGGGTTTCCTAGACGGGCCCCCTTGAGCTTTACTGCTTTGTACATGGAAAAGGTGCGCTTCGCTTTCCATTTGCGCGATCACCAGAAGCTTTGCTGAGCTGTGCAAGTGTTTCGCTAAGTTGGCACCGGAGCCTGCTGTGCCGCGATGCCCACCATTCCGGAAATCTTCAACATGGCTGCTGCTGACGCTGCTGCGGCCGATGAGGAGGTCCTGAATGGGCTTGAGAGCGCATCGCAAAGGGGCACTTCGATCCAAGGGCATACTGCTTCAGCTGCGCGCTCTGCGCCGCTCTGGCGATGTGCCGTTTGCGACGGCCCTGAGCTGCATAGAACTCTGGATGGCAACTGGACTTGTTCCGACTGCGGCAGCCTGGACTATTATCGAGTCAGTGGGCAGACATGGAGGCGCACCGGGTTCGGTACGTGGATGTTCTTCCCTGAGGGACAGGAGCCGCCACCACCCTGGCTACGCGCCGCCGTGCCTGCCGAAGCAGATGATGTTCAGCAGCCCTTCGGGACACCGGCAGATTCTTCTGAAACAAGGCCTGCCGAAAGTGCTGCAGCCAGACGCAGGCGCCGACGGCGACGACAAGGACCTTCGGATCCGGATGGCGGAGATTGGCCGGAGCAGGCGGAGTCAGAGACCCTCACCAACGACTCGCTGGTGACCGTGAGTTCTCGACCTCACCGCCCTCGGCCCGACCCTCGGCTACCAGGACCAGGACTTGCTGACCTACGGCGCTCCGCTGCACTTGAAGTACCTTCTGCTGACCTCGGAGGCGACGACCAAGCACACCTCGGAGGGCAACCTGCCACGCTGGAGGACGTCGTGACCTCGGGCAAGACCAAGAAGGTAGCTAGCTCTTCCACACCTTCGTGGACGAGCAAGATGGGGCCAGAGCGCAGTGTCAAAGTGGCGCGGCGGCGCCCCACCGCCGCCACCCAAGTGGACCTACGAGAAGGAAGACCTGCGTGCCTTCTCGAAGTACGAGAGGAAGGTCAGACTCTGGGAGATTCAGGTGGAGCCCTATATGAGTAAGAGGGAGGCATCTCTTCAACTTTACAACGCGCTGTCCGGGGAACCAGAGCAGGAGTTGGAGCACGCCCCCCTCGAGAGCATAAATAGTGCTCAAGGGATCACCTACATCCTTGACCAGCTTCGGGGCCCCATGTCTCAGCGCCTCGTTTATCAGAAGCGCAAGTACTTGTCGGACTTTGAGAACATCAATCGGTATCCGAATGAGCATCTCAGAGCATTCGTGAACAGGTACCGGAGAACTGAACGCAATTTGTCTGCTGTCGACATTAGCGTTAGCGCTATGTATGATAGCGAGGCTCGTGGAAGCAGACTCCTGGACAGATCTCGCCTGAGCCCTCAGGACCAGCGTTTGGTACTTGTTGGTTCGCGCTACTCCTTGACCTTTGAGGATATCTCCGAGTCCCTGGCGATGCAGTTCCCAGACTTCAAGCCACCACCTCCAGTAATGGGGAGAGACGGCCAGATGATCACCAGGGCCAAGGGGACGGGCAAGTTTGGCAACCAAGGCCAGCAAGCACCCACGCAGGATCAAAAGCATAGTGGTGGCAAAGGTGGCGGCAAACCCGGAGCCCGGAAAGTTTCCGTCACCGAGGCTGGCGCAGAGGCAGGCGAGCAAGCGCTTGATGAGGGCGACGAGGGCGGCTCCGACAACCCCGAGAACAACCAGGCGGCCGACGACGACCACAACGATGACCCTGGAGATGACGACGGTGACCCTGACCAAGGCGACGACTTGGACGACCTGGCGCAGGTTCTCACGGTGACAGCACGTCGTCTTGCTTCAGTACGTCTCGGAAGGAAGTTTTCAGGCAACAAAGTGCCGCCGAGCGAGCTCAAGAAAAAGACAGCTTGCGCAGCTTGCGGGGAAGTCGGGCACTGGCGTGGTGACCCTCAGTGTAGAGTTTCCGGCACAGGTGCTTCCACCGCAACTTCTTCTTCGAACCCCGGCTCCTCGACCACGGCGCTTGCCAAGAAAGGAGGCAAAGGAGCCAAACCAGACAAGCCACATCAAGCCTTTACCGTCATGCACAGTGACCTCGGTAACTATGAAGTTCGGTCAGGTTATGGCACGGCATTCTCAGCAGAACAACCCGAAGGCCATTACCAGGTCAGGATGTTATGTATAGCTCTGGCTTTGTCGGCTACATGGTTCTTGACACAGCTTGCCAGCGAACATGTTGCGGCCGCAGGTGGCTTCAGGAACATCGTTCACTCCTCGAGATTTACGACCTCGACATCATCAAGGTGGACTGCAGGGATCGCTTTCAGTTCGGTAAGGGTGACCCCATTCCAGCTGATCATCGAGCATATGTTCCAGCAGTTCTTGATGACGGTGCTTCCTTTGTCTTTGGCGCAGGAGTCCTCGACGCTGGCATTCCGCTTCTGGCAAGCAATCCACTCCTCAAGGCGCTCGGCATGGTTCTAGATCTGCCTAGGATGGTTGTGTACTTTGAGCGGCTGTCAGCTGAAGTGCCAGTGGTCAATCTGAATGGGCATCTTGAAGTCAACATTTCTGTTTTCTCCGCTGGTGCAGTTGCAAGCTTGAAGCAAAGCATTGAGACGGTTGATTGGCAGATTGCGGCTCCTGAGCTTCCCCTTGATCAGGCTTCGTTAATCGACTCCCCAGGCCATGCACCAGACTCCACCACAATGGTTGCAAAGGTGGCGCTTTCTGCTGCAGAGCCTCTTCTACTTCCGCAAGAGCCTCTACCAGCAAATGTGCCGAGCCGTCCGCCTCAGGATCTGGGATCGAGCTTGGCTGGTGGAGGCGACTCCGCCTCGCTTGGACGCCCTCCTCACGAATCCCGAGGAGTGCGACCACGCCGACATCTACCGGTACGGCAATGCGACAGGCAGATACGCCAGGTGCCGCAAGTGCATGACAAGATGGGTGTGGAGGAACGCCGACGAAAAGTGGGTACTGCACCCCTTCAAAGGGTCTTCGCGCTCATCGGCACTGCCATTGCCCTCCTCGGACAATACGGCCTCAGCGGCGGCACCGACTACGAGAGCTTCTCTTCGGGCGGCGGCGGCAAAGACGACACCTTCCTCGGCGCGGCCATCCCGGAGTACGACCTCTCGAACTACCCAGGGCCAACCTTCGACTCGAGGACTTCGGCGCACGACGACGGAGGAGGAGCTGGACGTCTGGAGGCTTCTGAACGAGGATGGCGAGAGACCACCTACGACTGGGACGCGTGAAGGGCTTCAAACGACTTGCTGGCAATATCGGCCGGGCCGGCCGCATCCTCGACGGCGAGGTCAAGGTTTACAATGCTCTTCCCACCGTTGCCTCCCGGCCACCTGGCTGTGTGGATCTTCTGGAGCTGTTTGCAGGCGAGGCCAGACCGAGTGCGGCTGCATCCGATCATGGACTTCATGCTTGCCAACCGGTTGACCTCACCTTTGGCTGGGACTTGGACACACAACGGGATCAAGACTTGGTCCGATCCATGGTCCGACGGCTTCGACCTTGGCTCCTCCTTATCGGCTACCCTTGCACCGACTACAACCTCTTTAATGAGAATCTGAACTACTCTCATCGGCGTCTCGAGCTACAAGCCCGCCGCGACCGCGATCAACCACGACGGCAGTTCCTGGCGGACCTTTGTCGAGAACAAGCCGAGCAAGGACGTCACTTCTTCATTGAAAATCCTCAACGCTCACGGCTATGGGAACAAGACGAATTCATCGAGCGCTCCAACCTGCCGGGCACCACCATGGGCCATGCTCACCTTGGCGCGTTCGGCTCTGAGACTGTGGATGGGCAACCTGTGGTCAAACCCATCGGCGTGCTCACCAATATGCCGGGACTTGCTGAAAGACTTTGTGTGAAGCTGAGTTTGGTTGACCGGCAGTATTGCACTCCCATCCAAGGAGCCGAGACCCGGAGATCACAGGTCTACCCCCACGCCTTCGTGCATGAGATCTTGCTTCACTTGCACGAGCTCATGGCCGAGAAGGAACCCCTCCGCTTCGGCAACTTCAATGTCTTTGCCACGGCGCGCCCCGTATCCGACATCAAGGCCTGGGACAACGTGTTCGAGCAGCTCGCCCGGGACTTTTCGGTCGGCAACCGGCGTGCCTTCGACATCGACCTCAACTCCCAGCTTGGCAAGGATGTGCAAAACTTGTTCCGCATCAAGGCCGTGAAAAATACAAGCTGCCCCATCTCCAATGCAACGGCGATTCTTGATGGACCAGCCTTACTCTGCTCGGGGTGTTGCTCTCGAGTACATCGACGGCGCCCGGCACATAGAGGTGGAGCAGTTGGAAGAGATCCGGCGCCCCAAAAGTCGGTTCTCACAAGCCGTGCGCTATGCCCTCTTCATCTATGGCGATTCCTACCAGGAGCCGGACTCTGTTCGAGGAGCTGACGTACATGATCCTTCGGTTCCTGTACCTGGGCTTCAAACCGACATTACGTTTCCGACCTTGGGACCTCAGGTTCCTCCTGAAATCAGGCGCTCTGTGGCACGACTGCATGCAAACCTCGGCCACCCTTCATCACACGAGCTCACGCGACTACTTTTACATCGTGGCATTCCGAACGCTGCCGTCCTCGAGTGTGTCAAGAAGCTTCACTGTGCAACTTGTGAGCGCCTCAAAGGACCACAACAGCCACGACCGGCCTCATCAAGTACGACAACCTCGACGGCGTCCCAATTCAATGAACTCGTGCAGGGTGACTTCTTCTACGTTCGCCTCAGCACGGGCGAAGCAGTTCAAGTCCTGGGCTTGGCCGACACGGCAACCGGATTCCATCAAGCAGCTATCCTCAGGACCAAGGGCGCCAGAGAAACCTATGACATCCTGGACCGAGTTTGGCTGCGACCTTATGGACTACCAGTACGCCTCCTGCTCGACCCGGACCCCTTGTTCCAGGGCGACTTCGACGACATGCTCTCCACCGTCAATGTGCACGTTGACTTCTGTCCAGCTGAGGCTCACTGGGTCATTGGCATGGTGGAAAGACGGAATGCTGTGCTGCGATCCATCCTGGAGCGCCTCATCAGTGACCACTGCGCCGCCAGCACCGACGACCTTGACCGTCTGATCTCTCCGGCGCTTCACTCGATGAACAGCTACATGACAACAAAGGGCCGCAGCCCGTTTCAAGCCGTGTTCGGACGTGTGCCTCAACTACCAGGAGGACTGTTTACGGACGGCGGCTCCCTGGCTTCTACACCTCTCGACCCCGGCTTGAACGCAGAGATGGTGAGGAGCGAGGCCTTGCAGCATCTGGCTGCAATGAGCGTTGACCGTGGCTTGCGCAGGGCGATTCTCAGGAAGACGAGAAACACGTGCGTGCCGCAGCTTGAGCCAGGCCAAAAATGCTCATTCTGGCGTTGGAGAAAACGCGGCCTCCGGAAGAGGGACCACGGCCAGATTCTTGGCTTGGGACCCGGAGAGCCCGGGCAAGCAGGCATGGCTCCGCAGTGGGAACAGTACCATCTTGGTCGCCACCGAGCAGCTCCGTGAGGCCATTGGTTTCGAGAGCTGGACTCCTGACGAGCACGACGTGAAGGCCCTTAAGGACGCTTCTGCCAACCTCAAGGACTCTCTTTGGCAGGACGAACGTGGCGCTGCGCCAGAGACGGCCTACATGGAGGACGACGAGGACCTTCGAAAGTACGAACCTTCGCTGCCGGCGACACCCTCACTGGCTCCAGTCGACACGTTGGTCGCCCCTCGACTACCTCCTCAAGCAGTAACCTCACCAGCGCCACGGCAGAGTCAAACCAACAACTACAACCTCACGATGAGCCCGACGTATCATCAAACCTACACTCACCAGCAGAAGTTTGGTGATCCTGCTTCAGCCCTTAGCCGGGTTCCGACTACACCAAGAGCTTTCAGGACACCACGAACGCCCAGGGGACGCTCACGAACACCTTCCCGACCGCTACCTGTACTTCCGGAAGTACCTCAAGGCAACGTTCGGGAACTACTTCAGCTGCCTCCTGGACTACAAGACGGCGGTGTGGCAGAGGAAACCACACAGTTTGAGAGTGCTGCCTACGATAGCGCAATCTTTGAGGATCCTGTCGTGGAGACCGGCGAGGCTGTCCAAGACAACAACGCCGAAGTCGAGTGGCCAGCACCTCCTCTTGAACAACGAGCTTCCGTAGAACCTCAAGCACTACCACCGGCCTTGGACCAGAAGCCTGAAACACCTGTGCTTCAAGACACGCAGTCCGTGACGGCGCCGCCTCTTGAACCACAAGCTTCGATAGAACCTCAAGCACTACCACCGGGTCCACCTTCAGCTACAGCTTCAGCACGTAGTCCAACCGAGGAAGTCCCAAGTTCAGAAGCAGCTTCTCAGCCTAGTTTGAGTACAGCACCACTGGCACCTTCAGAACCTCCTCTACCTCAGCTACCTCTTAAACGGCCTTTTGATACCATGACGACACTGCTGTATGACGACGGCGAGTTGATCAAGGTTTCTCCCGACGACGACTACCACACAGGCGTCTTCGGGCCCAAGCACAAGGCTTTCTACGAGGCCTACCTGGCGAGCCAACACCGCAAGGACGACGTGCCGCCCGACAAGCTGCGCGAGGAGAGCGACACCACGGACTCAGACCACGGTGGTCCCTCGCCGGGCCTGGTGTCAGCAAAAAGGCAACTTTCTCGAAAAGAACTCAAGCAATTAGATCGCGAAGTCCCTTGGACCCAAATACTCCGTGGCCACAACGTTCCGGAGTACCTCAAGGCGATCGACAAGGAAGCCAACTCTTGGCTCGAGTGGAAGTCGGTCCAACCACTCTCACACGAGCAGGCCCGTCAAGTGCTCAAGGACAAGATCTTGTGTAAGAGGATACTGCGCACACGTGCCTGCTACCGTGACAAAGCGAGAGGCCAAGGCCCTCTCCGTGCAAAGTGCCGCAGTGTTTGTCTGGGCCACCGAGACCCCGACCTTTTCACACTCAATCGGCAAGCACCGACTCCCAATCGATCTTCAGAGCATGTCATCTACTACATGATTGTTGCCGGATCGAATGGTGAGGTCGAGGGCACGGACCTGAAGTGGCAAGCCTGGACCGGCTGCCAGTACAGCCTTCTTACAAGGCCAGCACAAGGAACGCACCTTACCGTTGTTCTTGAAGCCTCCTTCTGATGGCTTGATCAGTCAGACTCCACATTGGAAAGCGCCTCTGTACAAAGTCTGCTCGAACATCTATGGACTCGCAGATGCTCCAAGAGTTTGGGCTCTAGAGGTGATATCTCGACTTCTTCGACTGGGATATGTCCAGCACTCGTTCGACAAGATGATTTTCCTCAAGCGTTGCAGCAAGGGCAACATTCAGAGCGTCATCTTGGTCTACGTGGACGATTTTCTGGGCACGTTCCGTTCCGACTACAATTTCAGCGAGGTCGAAGAAGCGTTTCAGTGGGGATCCCTGGAGTTCCTGCAGGTCGGCAAACCGATCGTCTTCAAAGGGAAGGAGGTCGAGTTGTTTGCCAGCCCGAACAACGCTAAGCGCTTCCAGCTCAAGCTCACTCAGAAGGCCTTCCTGGACGGACTTCTCCAAGGCAAACTTCCACGTGGTTGTGACCTCTTGGCTGCCCTTGACAAGGAGCACAGGGAAGAGTTCCGTTCAGTGGCCGGGTCCCTACAATGGCTTGCCGGCCAGACCAGGCCGGAGCTGGCACCCGTGATCTCCCTAAGCAACAAAGGGGAGGAAACCTCCTACGGAGATCTCAAGGCCTTATATTCGGCCCTCGAGTTCGCCAAGCAGACTTCTGACGAGGGACTAGTTCTTGCTGATGTTCCTCTGCGAGCTTCGACCACCTTGGTCTCGCGGACGCCAGCTTCGCCAACACACCGCAGCTGCGATCTCAATTTGGGGTCCTGATCTTGGCATCGGTTCCTCAAGTTTCCCAGGTGCCGTGTTCTGGACTCCTCCTAGACTGGAAGAGTGGGAAGTCAAGTCGAGTCTGCAGAAGCACGCTGGCTGCTGAGGCGATGGGTGCTGACGAAGCGGTCGACCGAAGCGCCTACTTGAACCTGTTCATCTCCGAGGTGATCACTGGAGTTCCTGCTCACCGGGTTCAGCCTGCTCTACGTCACCTTCATGTGACAGACGCCAAGTCTCTTTATGATGTCTTGGAGTCTGAGACTCCGAACTTAGCAGACAAGCGTAGCCTGGTGAACGTCAGAGCCGTTCAAGAAGTGGTCTCAGGGGATTCCGTGCACTGGGTTCCAACGACCTTGATGAGGGCAGACGGCCTCACCAAGATCTCTTTTCTCTTGATGGAGGAGCTCCATCGATGGCTCTTAAAGCCGATCATCGTGCTTCGTGATGTTGTTGCCAAATAAGAAAACTTTACCGGTGATAATTCTGCGATTGTGCTTCCATTGCCAACACATTCACAAGCAATACTTCTTGCTGCCGTTTCGGCTGGGGTTTCCTAGACGGGCCCCCTTGAGCTTTACTGCTTTGTACATGGAAAAGGTGCGCTTCGCTTTCCATTTGCGATCACCAGAAGCTTTGCTGAGCTGTGCAAGTGTTTCGCTAAGAGATGCTGCACGCGGGTTTTTAGCCCGCAGCCTAGATTTGCACGAAACAGATTGGCAGGGAGTAGGGTCATGACACTGCTCACTATTTCGCATTTTACGCTAGTTTTGGTTGTTAGACACCTGATGTTTGTTGCTTGGTGCTGCTTGACCCAGATGCGAGATTGGTCTTGGGAACCTACTGGAACTGACCGACCAATTCTCAGCAACCCAGCGCGCTAGAAATTCGCGATTGTAAATTTTGACAGGAATACACCTCAAACCCAGCTTATAGGGTCAGGGATGAGGCGCTTCTTGCGGCCTTGATGGTCAATCGTCCGTGTCGGCTATAAGTGGCTATAAGTCGTTCCTTCCATCTCTTTTCCAGCACCATGTTTACATGTAGCGGATCTGGACATGAAAGACGTGGCTTTTCACAAGCATTGAAGCAACGATCAAAGTCTTGTGTTGCGACCCTTAATAAACATCCTTGCAGTAGCTGATATCTTAGCGGCTCGCGCCCAGCACAACAAAGCACGTCCCGGCAGTAGGGGCTATTCGTCTTTGAGCCGAGTACTTTCCTCAACCCTCATACTCAGGTGCAGCAGGCTTTTGCATGGATGTTCGTATTTTTTTGCTGACGCACCACCACACAGATGCTACCGGCAGACCAGCGTCTCTTTGCCACCATCAGCGAAGATGAGAACAAACAAATCAACGTGAAAATCAAGTTCATGTCTGACGGAGAGGCATGTCCCCCTGTAAAAGATCTGGAAGACAGCGACACGTTGCAGACCTTGGAGGATCGTATCAAGGACAGGCTCGATGCGGGCGTGACACATTTCACCATTAATGATGACCAAGGGAACGAAGTGGACAAAGCCAAAAAGCTGGCAGAGTATACGGACAGAGTCCTGACCCTACAGGCAGATGATGATGCCTTTGGGAGTTGCCGAAAAATCTTGGCAGCCATGAAGGACCAAGTCTTCCTACCCGACACAAAGCATCACAAACTTGGTTGGAATCTAGCAGCTGCTGACAAAGCATGCCTGTCGCCTCTATTGGACTACCCCTCAGACGAACTCGGCATCCCTGCAACTGCTACAGATCAAAACTTTATTGACTTTATGAAGGTCTTTCGGCGCCTCACGACGGATCTGAAGCAGCAGGGAAGCATTTCCTCGATCTGATGATAACTCCATTGTCCCAATCAAGCGGCAGATCTTTCAAGCACGAACTTTATTGGCATTGGTTACAGTTGGCACGCGACGCCGCCGAACCGGTGCCGCAACGTCCTTCCACAATCTCCTTGATGGTGAAGCATGGAAACGGTCAAGTTTGGGGCGTTGTTTTTTTCGCTGAAAAGGGCATGTTTCCAGGAACCTTCAGTAGACGTTTAAGGGACTACCTGAAGTACGACACGGGCGTGAGAAGCCCGCTTCAAAATGAAGACACCACCGACAAAGAAGACACCTCCGACGTTGCAAAGTATCTTATCCGTGCCATGGCAAGCTTGGACTGCTACCCGCTGACCTCGCCCATGGCAGCAGAGGTGCTGGAAACGGCTGACGACATCATCAAAATTAAGCTTCCAGCATGGGACTTGCTCCCGTGCAAATGGGAGATCATCCGAATGGCACATGTGCAACTGCGCCTTTCCTCCGGCGTGGTGCCAGTGGTTAAGGGAAGCCTGTCCCTGCCTTTGCTGGAATTCTCCTCAGATCTCTTGCGGATGCATTTGATGGTGCTGCGCTACTGCGCAGAAGGGGTCTTCGCGCGTGATGCTACCGCGGAAACTCAGGGGGACTTGGAATGCCACCTGAGCGAAGCGAAGAAGTTAGTCAATGGCGAGAACCGAGGAGTCTTGATTGTGGTGTTGGATCTTCCCAGTGATGTGAGCGGCATCCGCCAAGAGCTTAACCACACAAAGACCCAGGGCATTCGTGTCATTTTGTGCACGAAGGAGCTTGCCTGAGGCCAGAGCAGCCGGTTCACCGGCAAAAGAGTCGGCATTTGTCTTGTATATGTAGCAGTGTGACGCAGCAGGATGGACTTTGGTTTTCCAGGCCTGGAACTAAGTTAAGCAAACTGTAATCCCTGAGCCGTTTTTGCGAACGAGCCCTGGCGGCACAAATCCCTCATCTCCCGCAGGCGTGTGTTAAGTAGTCCGGTATGTTGGCATGCCACCGACTTAGAATTCTTCCGTGCAGGATGATAAAGTCGTCATCATGCGCACCTTGCCTCAGAGCCATACCGCACCAACGACTGTATGTTCCAGGAGCTAAAAAGTTGCTAAGCTGGTGGCATATTCAGAGATGGGGTGCCGAGTAATTTGGCATCAATCATAGACACTGTTTCTCGATCCTTGGCTTAGCATGACAGCCCGTGACTAAGTTGATATGTTTCATGGACTTGCGTGCCTTGTGCAGGATTTCGCGGGAAGAGCGTAGTCGGGGCGTGCTGATCCTTTCCAACTGATAGTAGCCCTCCCTAGTGAGAAATACTCCTCTCGGAGAATCCTTTATTCCAGAAATTTCCGTAATAATGAGCTAGAAACACTCGCCAGTATCAAGTTGCGGAGGGGTTTATGGGTTTGGGTTTGTTGTCATTTGGGAGTCTCTCGAAATAATATCCCTATGAGCCCATAATCCCCGGGTCCCCTATTTTGCAGCACACCCATTTGTCTCAAAGCTCTGCTTCTTGCCTGGGTTCTGAAAGCTTAGACATCTGGGCAGTTGCTCTACAAAAACAGCTCCTATGTCAACACGCCTAACCGGAGCGTGGATGTCCTCCTTTTCGGGTTCTGTCCCATATAGCCCCCCTTAAGTAGATAGAACATGGCTTTTGGTATATTTTAATGAGATCCCCATATACCCCATATTCTATCTACTTAAGGGGGACTATAACTATTTTGTAGGGTATATGATATATCTCAAAACATGTATGGCATCCAGGGTCCAGATTGATCCTACAGCTTACAGCCCCAGCCCCCAAAGCCTAAACGTGAAGTCCTAAAACCGAAGCTCTGGGTCCCCAACGACCCGCCAAGTTTTAAGCCCAAGAACACCCAAGCGCGAGAATCCCTGGAGCCCTCATCCCTAAAGCCTAAAGCCCAAGCATCTGAACCCTGCGAGGCCCTCAGACCCTAAGCCTTGCGCCCCCAAAAAAACCTGAGGTTTAAAGCCTGTTGACCCCAGGCTTGAGGGTTTATTACCCCTGTCTAGGAGCCCAGAGTTTGGGCTTTAGGGTTACGGGAGATCCCACCTGTAAGGACAACCCCACCTCTGCGAAGAAGGGCCCAGAGAGAGAGAGAGAGAGATGTCCTTAGCGGGTGAGACGGTCTAATCAGACTCCACGAAGTAAGGTAGAGGGTTGAGTCATTTCCACCTTTCATTCCCTAGCAATTGAGAATCATCATAGAATATGTCCCCAAGCTACGTAGAGTCCCTATGGACCCCTATATAAACCCACGTTCGGTGTCCTGTTGCATTTTGTTCTTCATTGGGGTCTCCCTTATTCTGCCTAAGTAGGCCCCGGCATTCACCAACTTGCACTTGGTGTACACTGAGGATGCGCAGTGGTGTGGCAAAGCGTCCCTGCAGCAGTGAAAGTTGAAGAGCTTTGCCCAAGGTCCAGCGTACTTTACCCTGAGGGTTCAAAATCATATGCTTCCCCCAAAATTGTACTAAGATTGCTAGTGCCCAAATCCCAAGAAGCCAATTATTGGGTACATCGACCCTTAGGGTTAGGGTTTGAGGGGAGTTTCGGGCATGAACGATTTTCTGGGGAGTGCATCTGTTCGGGCCTTCAGTTCGTCAGGCTTTACTAGCTGAGGGGATACACGTTATACATGTGGAACTTGTGCAGTTTTTGAAAATCAGGTCTGCCTGTTCTGCCATCGTATGACTGAACCTTTAGGGGCCTGCATAGAAGCCATACATTAATGCCCATGTCCTAGACGTTACGTCATCGGATAGCTTGGAGCGCCCTTCCACTCATATCAGGCAGTGAATCAAGGGCAGGTGGGGTTGACGTTATGTAGGCTTAGCATTCAAGGTAATGTGCAATTTACAATTTGCATTTCACATATTGCGCAACTTAGAGGTTCTACAAAGCGCCCATGTCTTGAAGTTTTATATGCATTGAGTTTTTGGGCATGATTGTTTTGGCTCCCCGCGCAGCAGTATACATGTATCTTTGGGCACTTTTTCTCTGCGAAGCTAGCAGCTAGCGTTAGTGGCCATGTTCGCTGGATGCAACTAGACTTACTAGGGGTTAGTAGGGAGCAAGGGGAAATATTGTATACGGATGAGATAATCGATTACATTCCAGTATTCCATTCTGACCCCCAAAAAAGGAGGACATGTCAAATCCTCAAGCCCTGAAGGCTAACAACTGTCATGTCAGAGATTATCAAAACAGGTGCCCGTCCCTGGTTCCGCATGCTAACAGGGTCCTCAGCATAAGTAAAAACCCTGAACTCTAAAGCCTAAACCCTGACCCAAATCAGCCGTTGACTTCAAAAAAAGCTCACGTGCAAGGTTCCCTCCATCGACTCTCGCACCGTTGCCAAGTTTCGACTCCCGTTCAGCGGGCGATGAGCTGTGATAAAGCGTGCAGGGTGACTCAGGTAAGACATGGTGTGGGCATTTTCAAGACAAGGGGTCCCGCTGAAATCCCCCAAGCCTTTGGCGTAGAAAATCCAAAAAACGGGACTCATCTCTTGCAAGCTCCACGGGGAGGTTTTGTGCGTGCTCAAACTTCTTTCAATCCCTGATCTTAAGCACTCTCTAACCCCTTTATGTGCACTTCTGCGTTGCGCC